AAAATGCATTCTGCATCCGGAGTGAAGAGCTGCCGATAAGTGCAAATTCCATTATTCATGTTACTAGAGTGTCGAACCGGAAGGGCCGAGAACATCTCTCCAGTACCATCATGTATGAAACAGTGGTGGTGCACGGGCGCGAAGCGTAGTCAACGCTGAAAGCAGAAAAGTGCCGCTTATGCTTAACCTAAAAAGATGTAATGCTTGGAACTTCAGTGATGTCCCGGTGCTGCTGTTGCCCTAATACAATTTCAGCAAAGTATTTCAACTGGATTTCTAAATAGTACGAGAACGGCGTATCTGAATGATTCGTCAGTCTTGACATTCCGTATTTTGTAAACGATTTCACAAAAGTTTTGGGTTTTCTGTGTCTTTATCTAGCTTTATGTCGTTGCATGTTATGCAAGTGCCAAAACGCATATTGGCAAGAGGTTGTCTGTGTATGTGTGTGTATGTGTTTTTGTGTGTGCGAGTTTGCACTTTTTGTCACCCACTTTCAATTTGAGAAGCAGAGAAGCCAGAAAACTGAAACCTCGGAACTATTTACCCGCTCCGTATGCGACTCTCTCCAATTAATATTTCCACTCACGTATGCTTGGGTCTCACGCACGGACGCCTAAAAAATGTAGATTTTCGGCAGGAAAGCGATCTCGGGGACCAGAAAAGATAGAAGGCTGAAATTTTACACAGATTCCCTATGTGAGTTTAAGATTTCAAATTTAGTGTTAACGTGAGAATACATCTCACGTATGGATAAGTCAAAGTTGAAATTTCGCGGCCGTTGGCAAAATGCCAATTCGGAAAACAAAAATAAGAACTAATTTTACGAGAATTTTTGTTTTGGGCAGGCATAAAATTCACTTTAGCATACGCGTATGTGGCGAGTTCCGGTACGTTAAAAATTTTGCGTTACAAAAATTTATTTCGCTAACAAGACGTGCTAAGGAGTTGAAACTTTAAAAGGATATTCTACAACCACGTGTCACCAGAATATTTCAATTTGAGCTTCAAAGCACACTTAGATTTCGCGTGCGCTCCAGCTGAATGTTTAGTTCTTGATACTGTTGGCACCCAAGTAACTCGGTAACCAGAATGAACAGAAAGTAGTTTTTTTTTGTGGGTGTTTGCTGTTCATGTATGAACCATCAAGCGTAAGATGAGCTTCTACCTAGGCAGAATCCCCGCGTGCAGGCGCACCAAATGATTCCAGTAGCACAAATGACTTTTCTACAGAATGGAATCATGCAAAAACTCATGATCGCAAGCCCGGTGCTCCACAGCTTGGGATTTTTCTCATTTTATTCAGTAATGAAATTTTTTCCTGATCATTCAGAACGAATGTGTTATTGTGATCATGTCGATGGCATGGTTGTTATTGTTGCTCACTGTAACCTTATTTATCGGCATTGTTGCCACTTATTCATAAATGTTCTCATTCTCTGGATA